AAGATATTATCCGTGCCAAGTATCCAGAGCTTTTTACTACAGGTATGTAGTGAATTTCGGGGACGAAATTCCTTTATTAGGGGGGGAGAATGTAATACCCCGTAGTTTAAAAAGGGCTTATTTAAATTAAATTAAATTATTTCTGCATATCTAATGTGATAGTTATTCATCTATTATTGTGTATGTTAATGTATTAAATTAAATTAATTTAATTGTGCATGTATTCATATTTTATATTTTTTTATTTATTGGTAAGGTTTGTATTAAGCAGTATTAGTTACTTAAAGTAGTATATTCATATGGTAAAGTATGATTATGATTGTAATGTATTCTTATGTAAATATAAAAAATAATAATAATAATAATAATATTAGTAATAATAATAATAATAGTTATAATAATAATAATAGTATTAAATCATAATGTCATGATGAAATTAGAGATTAGGATAGGATTTCATTAATGTTTATGGGTAGACTTGAAGCCATATGGTTAGGAATGTGGTTACATGACTTGAAGCCATATGGTTGGGAATGTGGTTAATTAAATGTAAAATTAGATATTTGTAATATTTATATTATATAAATTGTATATAAATTAGTTAGCCTACCTTAGAAGGAATGGACGGGAGTTAGAAAAAGTTATAGCTTTCAGTGAGCCATTGTAAAAGTGTGGAAAGGAAGAGAGAAAAAGAAAGGAGCTTGGACCGGTGTAGGAGAAATTTACCTGACTACGCGCAACCGGCGGATTTATTTTAAATCCAAAAGGCAAGTTATTATCTACTTTTCCCCTTTAAATTAATAAATTAATTGTTTAGTTTATTTATATGCATAGAGACCAGGTTAGGAGGTTAATAAATTATTAATTTTAGTTTATTAAATTAATGAAATTTTAATTTTATAGGATGGTATATATTTATTTATTATCCTATGAAATTATTAAAGGCTGAAAATAATTAAATAAGTCTTTAGGGATTTTTTTAGAATTTTCTAGATTTTTTCCGGGGCTTTTCTGCAATTTCCGGCGAGACTCCGGCGAGGTTTCCGGCCACCGGATGTGGGGGAGATGACCGAAGTGATCCGGTGTGATGCGGCGTACTTTAGGGTAGCGTGCGCGCGCATCCTAGGCTTTAGATGAATCTGATTGATCCAGTGCATCGCGGTCCATGTTACCGCGGTACACCCGGATCATTGACCCTTGGATTAGGTGAGATGAGATGAAGTGATCCTGTGTAGCGCACCCACAGCAAGTCAATACAACCAACCAACCAGGAGGTGCCACGTCTGCAGGAGACCTAAACGCGCGCGTGGGAGAGCGTACGAGCGCGTGGCTGATGCCAGACGCGCGTGGAGGCGCGTGGGAGAGTGGGGAAGGTTGGGCTGCGCGTGGGGAAGCTTAGGGTGGCAAGTGGGGGCGCGTGAAGGGCCCTTTCATCTGCTAGAAATTACCAAACTACCCCTAGGGCCATTTTTGTGAATTTCAGAACCTTAAACTTTGATTTTTTAGGGCCTTTGTTGGTATTTACAGGTTTGACGGGCCACGAAATTATTATTTTATTACCCGTTAATTATTCTTATGGCCGATTAATCTTTTCTAAGCATTTATTGGCTCGTTTACAGTACGGATATGAATATGATTTATTTAACGACATTGTTAAATATAAATAGTGCTATTATCTTATTAAATGGTATCAAACATTACTGTTAAATTAAATAATGCCATGGTTTTAGTCATATAAATTATCCATGATATCTTATGGAATGTTTATACTGTTAAATGATATATAAACCATGATTATTATGCTGTGTGCATTTCAGAAAATAAATGGACTGTTTAATTATGTCGCATTTATATTATATGGATGTGTTGCCATATAGAACCATGTGAGCTGGCTAATAAGTTTAAACTCATTTATACCTTATGCATTTGATAGATGTGTGGCTGTCGGGGTATGTGGTTTAATATTATTGGCATGTGTTGCCTAATTGACGTACTCAGTATATTTAGTAATATTATTGGCATGTATTGCCTAATTTATATGCTCAGTATATTCATCAGTACTTTGAGAGGTGTTATCACTGTGTAGTTCGTTATTTGATTCTCTAATTTGGGTCACAGTAAAGAGGACTTACTCGTGGGGTTGACCCACCATTGTTGTTATTTTAGGATACGGTCAGTACCCGTTCCAAGGTTGAGGTTAGCAGTGTGGGACCACCATCCGAACTCATCTACTCTTACGATCCAGTACAGGGTAGAAGTTTTATGTATTACTTCAGTTTCAGTTTTTATTTACTTTTGACGTTGAACTCTCAGGTTTATATTTAGGGATCCTTGACATAGGATTTCCAAATTGTAATGAAGTACTGTATTAAGTAAAGGATGGATGGATGTTGTATTATTTAGTGTTCCTTTCCTGTCTAAATTCTTTTATTATTATCATTTTGTATTCCATGCTTGTATGTTGCCAATTGTTTTTGATTTCTCTCGTTTTTCGTGTATAAGCCTGATCAACTTATGCGTGGAAAAGGTGGGGGTGTCACACGTTTCCTAATAATTAAAATGTAATGTTAATTTAAAGTAAAATTGTAACATAGTAATCTATATAATGATTTAAAGTGCAAATGTCAAATATTGATTCATAGAACTTTTGGTAAAAATGCAACCTTTATTGATTTTGTAAAAATGTCAAATACTGATACACCTACATCCAGCCCTTTTGATTTAGCATAATCACAGTAATCTTTATACCAAGATTCGAACCAAAAGTATAAACATTTCAAATATAGTGTGACAGGCAATCGGTTATCTATGTTCACCATATAAAGTGCACAGAAATAAAAATTATATGATATGCATATAGGATGAGCTTAACTTAGATTCGGCAACAAATAAGCTTAGAATGGTGCAAGTCTAAGATCATCCACTTTATACCAAAAAATATTAAGCTAGCCTAAGCCACTTGTTCTTGTTAATGTAGGGCGCGACCAACAAGTCTCCTTTAAGTAGATCTTGCCCTACTTCTCTCTTGAATCATTCATTTCAGTAATATCGGTACACCAAAGACAGCTGTCTACAGCTTACTAGGGTGAAATAAACTACTCTCTAATATGAATAGTCTACTACATATACCTAATAGTATTTATTTATTTTGATAAGGACCTAATAGTATTAATTTTATAGATATTATTCAAGTTCTTGTTATTTGAATCATTTTATGTGCTTGATTCTTCAATAGAATTTCTCAATACCATCTTGAATTTAGTTGGTTTCAATTCAATGTTGTATGTCAATTCTAAGTTCTGATTCAGGATAATGTTTGTGTCTTAACCGCGTAATCTCCTTCTACTGATTCAACCTTTGCTTTCTACATCACTTGGGTCAAACTAGTTTCTTAAAAAGTGTATGCAGCTTCATTTTTTTGCTTTTCTTCCTTCGTACTGAATAAGAGGGTTCATCTATCGGCACGTACTGACATGGTATTTCCTTTCTTATATATTTGACACGGTATTATAGCTAAAGCTTATGAAAACCAGGCTATTTTCAAATGATTTAAGGTAGGACAGGACTTCTTTTTATAATTTTTCATAATTTTATTTTATTTTTGAGTAAAAAAATATGATTCATTTTGAGAATTTAACAGTCTCATGCTGTTTATCATCTCATATATCCCTAGTTACTATAGAATTCATATTCAAATCAACTTGTTGTAGAAAACTTTGACTTTTATAAATTTATATCATATTTTAGATTTAATTTGAAGTGAACTCTGGCAATGTTTTTAAAAATATATCTATTTTTCTTAACTTGATTTACAAGTCTGTGATTCTTACATTCAGAAATACGATCTTTGTAGTCTTCATGCCATATGGAGTGCATAAAAAATTGCAATGTCAATTTGAAAAGTTTTCATTTTTTCTATGGTGTTCTAAGATATAAAGAGTTTATAATTCGAATGTCTATACACCAATACACTTAGATTGATGAATCATGGTGTTCCTAGTTTTTTTGTTTTTTTTGGTGTAAATTCTGGTACTTCAAACAAAATTGGGTAATAATAGGATTTCAAAAGAACTATATATTGTGAGTTTGTGGACTTTTTTATAATTTCATTTTAGAGGAAAGGACTAGCGTTTGAGACTCTGAGTATCTTGTTGGCGTGTCAATATCATTAAAATAATAATAATTTAAAGAAAAGAATAATTGAATTGAGTGGGTAGTACACCATAAATATAAATTAATTGACCATTAAACTTAGTATTATTTCAACTTATTCGGTTAGTTAAAGAGTGATGGCAATGGGCAATTTTAAAGTAGACACAATTCATTATATATACAAATTATCAAGATTTTCTGTTCACTATCAAACTTATCCCAATTTTAAGAAATTTAGATTCCCTATTCAATTATCCAATCTAATTCAAAATTCAGCCAATGGACATTACATTAATGGTAGGACAGAGTTGAGTTTGAATATCACTAACTTAATTTATATGCTCTCAATATGCTTTGGTTGCTTGTATGTATAAGTTTTGAAATCCTATGGCTGTTTAAAATTTTTAGGGTTGAGTACAGTAGGCCTTTATTGTTAGAAACCAAATTGGAAAGTGCAGCCTGCTAGGTTGGATTGATCCATTGACATGGTCAATCGATTGAATTGAAACAAAAACGTCCATAGGTTCCATTGATTGAACTCCTGTTTACCCTTGTTAAATCCTTGGATAGAAGTAACACCTAACTAACTCAACCTACTTTCAAAAACATAGACAATTTAAAATTATGATTGGCCTTAAATGTACACAACAACAACCAACAACAATGTCACAACAATCAACAAAAAATAACAATCAACCACATACGATGTTCCCATACTCCCATGTTATATCAATGCAATAAAGTAACGGCCACGACAAGGACCCAAGCTTTCAACATTAAAGTAATAGCCACGACAAGAGCCTATGCTCGGCAAAAGTTGGAAATCTAATTCAGAATTCAGAACATACCTACCAGAGATGAAGATTGAGAACCAGAACTATGCTCCTAATCTTACTTCAAAAGTAATGATTTTGTTCTACTCCTAATCAGCTGGTTAAAATAGATCCTGTGAGGAAAAAAATTAAAAATGTAATGCCAACATATATAAAAAATAAAATCAGACATTGATTTTTGGTAATAATACAAGTGCCCAAAGATAAACAACAGTGACAAGATCATTATACAAGATTATTTTATCTGAACATGGATTAGACTAAAAAAAATCATATCTAGCTTCCTTATGTTACAAAGAATATCAAATTTGAGCCTCCTGTCCTGAGATAGGAGGTTAAACACTTGAACTGCAATGAAAAACACCTAAAGCCCAAAGCATTGTGTGATTTGCTAGAGTCCTTGATGTTCATGCTTGGACCCTTAAGACAATACACATTTAAAATTTGGATTTAAAATTTAGACACTGTTCCAAATTTTCTAAGAATTACTAAAAGAAAAATGTACTAATTAACCACTGATCATACCTGAGGGCTATGGATTGGAGAGTTATTTTTCAGCTGTAAAGCAAAAATCTAGTTTCAGATAATGACTTAAAAGGGCATGCTTGTCAATTGATTTCCTAAGGAAATGAAATTCAACATGGGTGTTGAATACAAACAAGCATGTGCTTCCACCTACTATCACTTGACTTTAAAAATAGAGTAATCGATTTTCAAAACCACAGGAAGCTTAAAAGTGAAAGTTAGCCTACATTCAATCTTGTAAATGGAAAGATTTTCACATGAAAAAAAATATATATATCATCAATCTGACCTCGCAAAGCTCATTCAATGAAAACAAATTAACCAAACAATATTATGGAATTGATGTATCATGATTAATTAAAACATTAATTCAAAAAATTAAATATGGTATAAAACATATAAACCTTAGTCTACTAATCTGCCGTCGAATCCCTTTAAGAGAAGTTATCACTCCAGCATTTTGCAAAAAGTTCACGTCAACAGAAGAATAATCTAAATACAATTCCTCTAAGTAGCTCAACCCTTTAATTAGCGAGGATTTAGTTTGCAAAACAAGAATTACAGACTTGATTAATTGATTTAGAAAGAAAAAAAATACAAAACCAATACATACAAGTTAGCAGTCGCAGAGTTGAGAGAGAGATAGATAAACAAAATTATATGGGTTTTGAACTTCTGATTCTTGTAGATTTTGTAGTTTGCAGTTGCACAGAGAGAGAGAGGGCAAGTTCAGAGTCGAGAATGAGAATAGAGATGGAGGCGATTGGGGAGGCTGAAATGATTTGCCCTAAATATTTCACTTAATAGGATTTAGTTTGCAAAACAAGAATTACAGAAATTGATTTAGAAAAAAATAAATAAAACAAAACCAATACATACAAGTTAGAGAGAGGGCTTGAGAGTTGAGAGACGGCCGGCCAGCGGCTGAAGCTTGCGAATGGCGAACCCGAACTGGAACAGTGGGCGATGAAAGCTGAAGGATATGGGTTTCGATATTTTGAACAATCTGAAATGATATGCCGATATGGGTTCTGATTCTTGTAGATTTTGCAGTTTGCAGTTGCAGAGACAAAGAGAGGGCAAGTTCAGAGTTGAGAACGAGAATAGAGATGGAGGCGATTTCGGAGGCTCATCTGATTCTTGCAGATTTTGTAGTTTGCGGTCACAGAGACAGGGAGAGGGCAAGTTCAGAGTTGAGAACGAGAATTGAGATGGAGGCGATTTGGGAGGATGATCTGATTTTTGTAGATTTTGTAGTTTGCAGTCGCATAGACAGAGAGAGGGCAAGTTTAGAGTTGGGAACCAGAATAGAGATGGAGGCGATTTGGGAGGCCGAAATGATTTGCCCTAAAATTGTATATGTGTGGTCTGTACATGTCTGAAATGATTTCCCTTAAAATTTTAAGCAAGCAGCGGGAATAAGACCCGCGTATCGCCTTTCACCCGCGGGAATTTTAATTTTTTTAAGTTTTCGAGGCAAAATATGAATCTTGCAAAGTATTTATTAAAAAATTAATATTCTCATATAAGTAGAATTGCTTCTTAATTTAATAAAAAATATTCATTTATTTAAAAAATTTTATTTTATTTTATTTATTTAATAAATTAATTAAGTCGGGAATTATAAAATTTTTTGGTTTTGGGACAAAATATGAAGAATTTCTTACAAAATGTTTATTAAAAAACTAATTTTCTCAATAGATTTGTTTCTTAATTTAATAAAAAATATTCATCTATTTGTAAAATAAAATAATAATAATTTTTATTTATTTATTTATTATTATTATTATTATTATTTTTTATCATTACTCCTAATACCAGTATTTCTTGTAGTGACATAACAAAAATTAATCGATAGATAAATTATAATTGAAATAATATACACCATAAGTATAATTTAATTAGTAGAATAAAATCCCATTAAACTATAATTAATATAATTTAATTATGTTTTTATTAAAATATTCCCAATAGTAACTTCCCTCTTTGGCTGACACGTGTCCCTATGTAATTACTTGTACCAAATGGCTTCCTTTGATGAAGCCACATGTCGTTTCATGATTGCACCTTATTTGCATATTACTCTTCCAATTGAAAAAATCTTTAATGAGTTATGAGATGTAACATAATAAATTTTCATTTTTACTTGAACACAATATGTGTGTGTGTATATATATATTTATATATTAACGTTATGTATAATTAGTCATGGAGAGAAAGATATGTAGATAATTATTATGTGTTGGTTTGAACTATAACTTTAAAATTTAGGATTATGTTTGTATCTTTTAAACGAATTAGTCATGGACAATTATCTGATGCATTGTAAAGTAAAACTACTTTGATATGTTTCAATTGTGATGAATACCAGAGGAAGAATATGAATTTTTATACTTTTGGAAAGAAAATACTGAGAGAGTAACTAGCCTAAAAAAAAAAAAAAATAATGACTTAAATATTTAAATAAAAGAATAAATATTCCTTTTACCAATTCTCTTAAATATTTTTTTATCTTTCTATATATACACTATTATTAAATGTACGTACAATTTTTGTATTTTAAAAAACAAAATTAAACATAAATCTATATCTATACTATTATTAAAAGTGTAAAGAGTTTCAGTGTTTTCGTATTTGAGTGTTTATTTATTAATATAAAAAAATGTTTATTAACTAATATAAATTACCTATTTATCTATTTATTTTGAGTTTTTTAATAAAAAAAATCTAATTAGACAAGAATTTTTAATATAAAAAAATAGAAAAGAATTATAAATGTAAAAAATATTTATTAATTGATATAAAAAAAATAATAATAATATCTATAAAATTCTACCACAAATCAGCAATTTTATTTTTTATAAAACACTATCACATATAACCTGTATTTATCTATTTTTGAGTTGTAGAGAAATTATTTTATTTTTTATATCAATTAATAAATATTTTTTATATTAATAATTATTGTCTAATTAAATTTTCTTTTATTAAAAAAACTCATAAATATTTTATAGAAATTCTTTAAAAAACTCTTTTTATATCAATTAATAATATTTTTTATATTAATAATTCTTTTCTATTCTTTATATTATTAATTCTTGTCTAATTGGATTTTCTTTTATTAAAAAACTCATAATAAATAGATAAATAGGTAATTTATATTAATTAATAAACATTTTTTATATTAATAAATAAATAATGAAATACTGAAACGCTAAAATACTGAAACTCTTTATACTTTTAATAACAAAATAATTTATATAAAATCTACCACAAATTAGCTACTTTATTTTCTATAAAACTCTGTCACAATATCTATTTATTATGACTTTTTTAATAAAATAAAATCTAATTAGACAATAATATATTTAACGAAAATAAAATAATTTCTATATAATTCTAACATAAATCAACTATTTTATTTTTTATAAAACTCTATCACATATAACTCATAGAGCGGGAGCGGGAGCGAAAATGAGAGCGGGAAAGCGCCAAAGCCAAAAAAATTTGGGAGCGGGAGCGTCTATATATTAGGTTTAAATAAAATTATATCAGTTAATATCATATATATTTTATATATTTTTATTTATTTAAATCTATATGCAAATATATTCATGATTATTTATTCCATTAATGATATATGTAATAAATAAGTTAACTTTTTTCATATGCGTGATTTATTTGTAATATTCTCTAATTGGGAAGTTTTTTTAGTAGTATATTTTCAAACATATATAATTAATAGTATAGAACCACCATAGCACACTGAAATTTAATAAATATATATATATTGAGTAATAATGTAAGTAATAAATGCATATATGGTACTATAGGTGCTCCATATCACTGAGTCTCTAATAAATTTAGCTATATAAAGTAAATTAGTAGGGAAATCGCGAATTAGGAAAACAAATTTGCGAATTATAAAAATTGAATTCACGAATTTTGTGCGAATTCGCTCCCAAATCGCAAATTTGCGAGCGGAGCGTGAGAGCGGGGCCTTTTTCAACGAATTGTGTGACTAAACATCTTTCAACAAATTGTGTGACTAAACATATAACCTGTATTTATCTATTTATTATGAATATATTTAAAGAAAATAAAATAATTTCTATAAAACTCTACCATAAATTACCTATTTTATTTTATTTAAAAATTTATTACATATATACTGTATTTATCTATTTATTATGAGTTATAGTATAAAGAGTTTCACTATTTCAGTATTTATTTATTAATATAAAAAATATTTATTAATTAATATAAATTAGCTATTTATCTATTTATTAGGATGTTTTTTATAAAAGGAAATCTAATTAGACAAAAATTATTAAAAATATTTATTAATTAATATAAAAAGAGCTTTTTAAAAACTTTTTATAAAACTCTAACACAAATTACCTAATTATCTATTTATTATGAGTTTTTTAATACAAGAAAATCTAATTAGACATGAATTATTAGTATAAAAATATTTATTAATTGATATAAAAAACAAAATATTTTCTCTACAACTGTAAAATAATTCCTATTAAATTTACCACAAATTAGCTATTTTATTTTCTATAAAACTCAGCACAATATCTATTTATTATGACTTTTTTAATAAAATAAAATCTAATAAGACAATAATATATTTAAAGAAAATAAAATAATTTCTATAAAATTCTTCTACAAATCAGCTATTTTATTTTCTATAAAACACAATCACATGTAACATGTATTTATCTATTTATTATGATTATATTTAAAGAAAATAAAATAATTTCTATAAACTCCAGCACAAATTATTTATTTTATTTTCTTTAAAACTCTATCACATATATCCTCTATTTATCTATTTATTATGAGTTATTTAATAAGAGGAAATCTAGTTGGACAATGATATATTTAAAGAAAATAAAATAATTTCTATAAAACTTACCAAAAATTACCTATTTTATTTTCTATAAAACTTTATCACATTAGAGAAAGATATATCTAAAGAAAATATATAATAAATATAATAATACATATAAATAAAATATAAAAATTATTAAAAGTATGAAGAGTTTCAGTGTTTCCGTATTTATTTATAAATATAAAAAATATTTATTAATTAATATAAATTACCTATTTATCTATTTATTATGAGTTTTTTAATTAAAGGAAATCTAATTAGACAAGAATGATTAAAAATAATTATTAATTGATATAAAAAGAGTTTTTTAAAGAATTTCTATAAAACTCTAACACAAATTACGTATTTATCTATTTATTATGAGTTTTTTTAATAAAAGAAATCTAAGTGGACAAAAATTATTAATATAAAAATTATTTTTTTATTGATATAAAAATAAAATAATTTCTATAAAATCTACCATAAATTAGTTATTTTATTTTATATAAAACTCTATCACAATATCTAAATGACTTTTTTAATAAAATAAAATCTAATTATACAATAATATATTTAAAAAAAATAAAATAATAGTGTTTGCGATGTTGATATCGCTCTTAAAATTTTCTATATTTAAACTTTAGTCGATTCTCTTAAAAATATACTCCATAATATATATATTTTTTATTTTTATTAACTAACAATAGTTATTTATTAAAATATTTAAGGTGTAGGTCATTTTAGATTGACAATTAATAAAACACTTTGTAATTATATATTCATACTTTTCTTTATATTTTTTTTATATTGACATTTTTACAAATTAATTAAGCTCGAAACAATTACTGACTAATTTGTCTATCTTGCAATTAATGGCATTTTTGATGAGTCATTAATTAGTCAACACATTTTTTTTTTTATAAAAAATTTAGAAGTCATCTTGTATTCTTAACAAAATTTGTCCTTTTGCGACCATAAGTTATTTTGGTCGTTAATACATTGTCTAATTGCGACCAAAATTTGATCATTTTGCAACGATAAAATTTGGTCGTAAAAGATCAATCCTTTTGCGACCAAAAATTATTTTGGTCGTTAATACCTTGCCCAATTGCGACCAAACTTTGATCATTTTGCAACCATAAAATTTGGTCGTAAAAGATCAATCCTTTCGCGACCATAATTTATTTTGGTCGTTAATACTTTGACCAATTGCGACCAAACTTTGATCATTTTGCAACCATAAAATTTGGTCATAAAAGATCAATTCTTTCGTGACCAAATTTTTTTTGTTCGATAATACTTTGACCAATTGTGACCAAACTTTGATCATTTTGCAATCATAAAGTTTGGTCATTAAAAATGAATCCTTTCGCGACCATAATTTATTTTTGTCGTTAATACTTTGACCAATTGGGACCAAACTTTGATCATTTTTCAACCATAAAATTTGGTTGTAAAAGATCAATTCTTTCACGACCATAATTTATTTTGGTCGT